TCCCACCATCTGTGTTCCAAATACACCTGCAAGTCCTTTGTAGTGCAACATTTAGGTTTCCTGGAGACTTTCTGCATCCGCCAAAATAGCAAAGTTGTGCTAAGCAGCATGAGGAGAACATGACTGTAGCAAAAATGCTGTCACAGCCTGCAACAGTGACTGAACACCTGGTGGGAAGGCAGGGCCAGCCCAGGGGATCTCAGGTGCATGCAATGAACCTGAGTGACTGTAAGGGGTGGAGCCAGGATCCAGCCCTTCCCAGACCTATTTTAAGAGTTAGTAGTGGAGATGAGATTATCTTGTTGGAGACTCCTGCCTACTAGAGATCTTCCATTGGTAAGTAGTTTTTCTTCCTTTGTTTCTATAGCTACTGCATTTGGGCTTTTTCTCATTTGCTGCAGCCTGGGATTGTGCCACCCTACTCCTACTGCTGTACTTTCCATTGCATTATAATCCTATAGTGATTATGCCAAAAACAGGAATGCTGTCTGCCACAAAAATGAACTAGATCTAGTCTTAGTTCAGAGTTATAAAACCAGACTTACACTCATAGCTGGTAAACATTCTGGATTTCATACATATTGATATGAAAATGCATGATGTGCAGAGTTTAAATATACATATGCTACCTATGTTCATGAACTGGAATGTGCTGGCAGTAGTGAGGTGGAAGTATTGTCATGTACTGCAAGACAGATGACCTCATGTCTGTAAGTGCTACAGACATGCTTCAAAGTCCAGTGCTGGTGAGGCTGATGCTAATATCTGGTGTTGGGCATAAATGGTTTTCTTGAAAGCATTGAGGCTCCTTATCTACCCAAAGCCAACTCTAAAAGCCTGGAGCACTAGTTAACAGAGATAACAGTACTTAAAATTTGTTTGTAGTCCAATAGCGGGTTTAATTTTATGACTGTAAATGAATTACACAGCCAGAAGAGATTAATTGGTTGTCTGGTCAGTCCTCTGGACATAACCTGGACTACCAATTCCTTCCAGCCATTCCTGCTGGAATACAGCAAATACAACAATAGACAAGGAAGTGTCAGCTATCAAACAGGCTGAAAGCACTTTCCATTTTTAAGTGAAGGATTTCCTTATGGTTTCCCATGCCAAATAATAAATTGTCAGTTAAGCAGTGTATGCTATAATAGGCTTGGGCTACTGAGATGATATTAAAACTAGATGGCGTCTTTACCACTTCTTGTCATAGCCAGTTCAGAACTACCTCCACTAGTTGCAAGGCTAGGATTAACCTTTCCCTGGGCTTCTACTCCAAGTGGAAAATATGGAAGAGGAAAAGGGAATTCTGCATTTCATGTTCCCACCCAGCTACTGCCAGGATAGGCAGCCCTTCAGAGGGCAGAGCTATGGCACAGCCATGACCTTTTCCATTTCACTGATAGCAAAGAATATGAACTTGTTCACTGCTTCATAAATACAATAAGTGTCACTTTTTATGGGATCTTTCTTCCTTTCTGTGTGTTTTTTTGTTTGTTTTGTTTTTTTTGTTTTTGGTTTTTTTTTTTTTCCTTCCAACAGCTAGAAATGACTAGTGATGAGGGGGAGAAGGAGGGCTGCAGGGGAACCCTGTTCCCTTGGGAAAGCTGTCGTACATATGTACAGGAAATTGAATGCAGAAATTATGGCATGTGAGGTTGTTAAAGAAGTGACAGGGTTATAAAACAGATCTTTCAACCGCCACCCATTATGGATATTCCAGTTGTGAAGGGTCACATTTTAATACAAATCTGCTGTCCCAAATTACATTTGTCTTTTTCCATAAACTAGAAGTCAGCAAAGATTTACAAGAAGGTAATTTTCCTCCTTGTTATTTTAACTCATTTATCTCCTCTATGAATTTCAAATAAAGAAGAAGAAAAACCCACTGGTTTCATAGAATTTATTAGGTTGCACGTTATAATGGCTTCTGTTCTTGAGCTGCTGAAATGTCCATGAAAACTGTGAGGGTCTCTTTAAACATACTCTAGACTTCATAAAATGGATAATGTGGTGCTGCAGAAATAGAACACAAAATCTTATTATGCTTGATGTGACTAATTTATTACCTAAATTCCACACTCCTGGTCTGATATTGCACCATTTGCCACGTGAGATTATGGTGCGCGCTGAAAGTGAGATGGCTTATTTCTAAATAATCATGACAATGAAACAGTTTGGTATGCAGGTCTTTAATTACTACTTGGTATTTTGGTTATGCTTTCCTTTCTCTTTCTCTGCTCTTCTTCCTGTTTTCAAGGCAACAGATGAAAAGATGTCTCAAGGCCATTCACAGAATTAGATTTGAGATTACAGTGTAAGTAGGTAGACGAAGTACCAGTTAATTCGATTAGTTTTGAAAATAGGTGAAGGGAAAACAAACTCTCAGCCCTATCAATGAAATCATATTTCAGAAGCATGCTGTTCTGTGCTATTATTTTTCCCCACATTCATCTGACTTTTGCTATCGGCAAATCAAAATCTGATCTTCCAATCTTAACACCAATTCTGACCTAAATCCCTTTTTTCACTTGAAGCCAGACACAAAACATATTTTTAAACACTGCTGCTCAGTTTATACCCTGGCAATCACTGTTTCATCTGGCTGTTCCAGTTCTATTCATTATTCCTTCAGAGTCTGTAAATATCCAAAGCAAATCCCCTGAGTTTTGCTTTTAAGTCAGCAAATTCAATTTCGGTGGCTTTATGCAAACTTTGAAGCTCTGCTGGAACCAGTTGCTAGGAACTGCAGCTCATACTTTACAGAAGCTTAGTCTTGATTTTTTTGCAAAGTGCTTTTGTGTAATCAGTCAATTAGAGCTGTGACCAGTGATCCATATCAGCAATTGATAGCGAAGTGCAGGATTGGTACGCTTGGAATCCAGGTTTCAGTCTTTCTGGTTAGGTAGCACCACTCACACAAAAGTTATGGTGATTTCTTGAATTTTTTGACTAAAAGCATTTATATACAACTCTGCATTAATTAGAAAGAGTTGGGAAAGGATTTGTTTTAACACTTTTACCTCCATTTGCTCTATTAGAAATCCCTCCCTGCTGATTTTTTTTTTTTTTTTTTTTTTTGTAACATCATATGGAAATGGAAATAAATGCAGTGATACGATTATAGTCAGTTAACAAGCAAATCATGCTTGAAATGCATTTGTTTGTAATCTACAATGGGGTAGACAAATTGTTTTTATCTCTTTTTGCACAAGCATAACTTTGAAATGAGTATTAAGCCTCAGTAAATTTTGAGTTAGCACTTATTTAAAAACTGCAAATCTAGCAAGGCACAATAATAGCTGAAATTCTATGAGAAAGAATAATGGGAAAAAACCCTCAGATTAGCATTATTTTATACTTTCCCCTTTCAGTGACCTCTCCGGATCGTATTTGCTGAGATCTTTATTGATATAAAATGCTTGCACAATTACTGGCAATAGATGTTAGATGCAAATACATTCTTCAGTGCTTACAATGCCAATAGAAGGTTTATTTGATAGTGAGAGCTATTGACTTTAAATAATCATGTGAGCTGAAAGTTACTAATGCATCTCTAAGTACAGCTTTGAGTATCTGTGAGTTTAATAGTGCTGTTTACTACAGCCTGGATGTCAGAGAGCATGCTATGGGGAGCCATGCACATGGGTGAAGTGACTTCCACCTTGGAGGAGCCTCTGAACGTTTGTGGGTGAGCACAGAAGAGAAAGTAGTGCAAAGACCAAAACTGCTTTGTGAGCTTAAGTCCTGTTGGAGAAGGAGAATTCCTGGGTTGCTGCTGTGAGGACTGCTTCTGCCCCTTCGTTTGGCTCTGCCCCTTCGTTTGGCTCTGCCCCTCTGATAACAAGTGTCACACCTCCACTGCCTAACCACCAGAGCTGGTTTGTGCATAGGTGCCCTGGGGCACTTTGGGTACCTTGATGCCAAAGTATTTAGGCATCTGAACCCAAAGTGAAACTGGAAATTCAAATGAATTCCCTGGGCTCCCTGCCTGGGAAGAATGGCCTTTAAAACATAGACAAACCAATGTGATATACTTTATCAAGGATTGATGAGTGAGAGACTCAGTCTCTGTGGGGGAAGAGTGCAGGAGTTCTATTGTTATCTCTCTTCCAGCAGTGTAACAGAAACAAACCTGCCAGTGAGAACTAGAAGTCATTTAGTTGTAGGCTCATAGAACCCTGAAATCATAGAGTAGTTTGCATTAGAAGGGACCTTAGACATCACCTAGATCCAATGTCTGTGCTGTGGTCTGGGTTGCCAACCAGAAGATCAGGCTGCCCAAAGTCCTCTCCAGAAGTACTTAGCTCACAGTCTTATTTTGATGTTGTTTGCTCACCTGTCCTCAAGGAACTGGCTTGTCTTTGCAAGGAAGGACACAGGCATGCTAAACCCCTTCTCCTAAGCACACATCCATCATCTCCTGCTTTTCTAGTGCTTCTGAAGAGAGATTTGAACCTGTGACAGTTTTGAGCAAGGGACTTGACCAATTGGGGGCTTAAACAGAAAAATGGCACCCTCCTGTGGCAACGTTTTAAAACAAACAAACATTATTTTAATAAATGCAGTGTCTAATTCAGTCAGTACATGTGACCCACGTGCATGTCACTAAGTGTTTGGTAAGGGATCATGGTGCCCTTCTGCTTAAGCCAAAAATTGCCTCTCAAGCTGAATTGGTGGAGTGTGGCCTAGCTGTGGGCAAAGACCCTCCAAGGTCAGGCAGAGAAGCCTGCAGCGAGTTGTGAGGCGGCAGCTTGGCTGCATGGAGCCACCCTGCATCCCAAAGCCCATGTCCAGCCAGCTTCAAGAGCCTACACACTTTTTTTGGACTTGGCTCTTTGTCAAAACCATAGGGTACAGTGCCTGCATGGACTTCAAAGGAAGGGCACCAAATGTGATTTGGCCCGGGCCATTTATTGCTAGCATCTTTGTTAGATACTGCTGCCAAGGGTTAAAATGTTTACATGCCCCCTGATTTTAAATGGACTGGGTTGCATGTCAAATGCCAACGGGAGAGACAGCTGGAGTATCTAAACCAAGAGCTTTGATCTTAGTATCTGTAAAAAAGAGGTCATTTGGTCTCCCAGGAAGCAGAGACATTTAGAAGGTCCCTGTACAACTCATGCAAGTATTTTATTAACGACAATTTTTATTCAAATGTAGGTAGGTTCTGTTGCTACTTACTGAATGCATATATGCATGTATATGTATGATTATGTGTCTGTAAATATACATGTATATATACACTTGTAGATGCACTAAGTTGTGTGCTTTTGTATGTGTGCATTCTAACATCCCGTGTTTCTATATGTACTAATCTGTTTATTTCATTTGCAAAGACATGACCATGCTTCAAGCGTGATGTTTATCTCCCTGTGCTTTTCACAATAACCTGAAGCACTCTCTGCTGAGTGAATGCAAATCTTTGTGTAACAGTGTAATTGCAGCAAGCCTGTACAGCATTCTCAGGAAGATGCAGGGATGAAAACACAGACTTCATTGTCCTGTAATCATGTCTGACATTGATTCAGAAGAGAGGAATCCTAAAATATGATATTGCACAGGGGAAATATTTCTATTCTTTTAGTAGAAAACTTTGTGGTTAGTTCACAATGCAATTAAAATAGCCACCAGATGTTTATGACTTCAGGCAGCAGTTAGCATTACTGTCCCTGATCGCTGTCCTTTGCTCCTTTGTCAAAACAAACAAGTTTTTTTTTTGTGCTGGAGAAAAAAAAAAAATCTTAATTTTTAAGCATACAGGGGGGATGGTCTGTATTTCTATTTGCCAGTGCTCATGTTGCTCTATGACAGCCTTGTAAGCAACGATAATCTTAAAGTTAAAATAACATCGCTCTCCAGAATGAAATAAGCATTTTACTTAAATGTGAGACAAAGCCTACAGTATCTTATCATTAAACTGATCTGTGAGAAATAGTATTAAAAAATAATGCTGCTTTTCCAGAGTGTCATAAATTTGGAAATATGTTTTTTTTTTTTTTTGCCCCCTGTTGAATAATAGAATTATTAATATGCAATTTATTTTTAAAGACATGTTTAAAGAAAGCCTGCTGTGCTCTGACTTCAGTAATTTTCCTTAGAGCCCATTATTCTTATTTGTTTCAGGGCTATTAATTTTGAAGCCACATTATATTCAAATTATCGTTGATTACTAGGCTCGATAAGTGATCATAGTTTGCATTTCATTACCCAAAAGGCAGCTAATGAAGTTAGCTGTGCACTAACATTTGGAGAAGGAAATTATTTGAGCTCTGCAAAGCAGATGAAAAAGGAAAGAAAAAAACAAAATAAAATGAGCTGCAAGAAGTTATGAGAGCAGTAGGAGAGATCGAGGGGGTGAGAATATCACCAACGGACGTCCTAATTGTATAATTTCAGCCTCCTGGAGATGTCTGAGATGCTGGATTGATAAAATAATGGAGAACTTAAGTGAAAGGTTCTGAACCATCTCAAACAGTGTGGGAATACGTGAGAGAATATTACATGCGTGAGCTCAGTGTTAAATAGTGAAGTGACAGCGCAACCTTCAGAAACACAGTAGTGGTGTTTAAAACAAGTCACACTGAACAAAGATGTGAAGAGGTAACACGAGGCTTAGTGTGACTTGTGTGTGCTGATGAGGGCTGTGGGGAGCTGTGTTAATGTGCAGAAAGAGGCAGTTTCTTACCTAAGCTGGGTACTGGCACGGATTGCAGCTAAGAGGGAGTAGTGCAGATATTCAGGGAGAAATAAGCAGAAGGATGTGAATTTTCCATGCTGTGCTGAACCCTGAGGACTCGGTGAGAAGATGTTCAGTGTCTCCTGCACCAGAGCTCCTTAAGGCACACAGAATACGAAGGTAACCCTGAAACAGCATTTTGTGTCCTGTTTTGCAGCCTTTCATAGAAGTGCCATCATCCAGCACTGTGGGGCTGTCCCACATGTATCCCAAACTTCCTTCTCCAGGTGTTGGTCAAATTCAGGAAGCTGTACATTTCAGCTCAGATGAACAGGCGCTTTTCCCTGCTGCACGGCTGCTGCTTTCTGCGCTCTCCCCTTGTGCTGCTCCTGTTGCATCTGCTCAAGCCGAGAGCTGCAGATCTGGGCTCTCATCAGCTCCAGCTGACAGGCGCTCAGATACTGCTCAAATCAAAGCCTCACACTCCACTCAAAGCCCCATGTTTCATTAGCTCCTCAGTGCTGCTATTGTGAAAGTTGTTCAGGTTGAGGGAGGGTGAAGGAAGGCGTTGGGATTTTTGAATTTTAACTCGAGTGCAGTGTTTTGGGATGCATGAGCCATGCTGGTTTACTGGTAGTTGTTGCTTCAGCACATTTGCATTTCATCCACTGTAATGAGGGCAAGTGGATTGCAATGGGTCAGCTGGTTAATGCAAGTCACCCCACATCCAGGAAACTGTATTTTTGTAGAATACCAGTCAGTCACATTTACTCAGATCAGGGCACAATGCCAAAACCAAGACCAAGTCGTGCCTGCGTCCTCATGCTGGGCTGAATTAATGGAAGGGCTCATTTTGCTGTGTATCAAATCCTAGCAATTGCATTTGAACTCTGAATGAGAAGTGATACTCTGAAGTATGTGCATCTCCAACAGTACTATTTCCCCCCAAAAAAAAGTATTTTTTTTTTTTTAGCCGTCCTTTTCTGGATTATATATATGTATTTGTACTAGTGTGCAGGATTGCTATGCAGATATATTACCACATAGTTCTCTGCTTCAAAATAATTTCCATCCCAAAGAGTAAACCTCTTTTTCTCAGCTGCCTCTTTTCTCACCTCTTACTGAAGAGGGGAGCACGTCATCTTCACACTGTTTTGTTTTTAATCTGTGGTAGATATTACCTGAAGTCTAAAATCAATGTCAGTCATTTTTTTGCAGTGTGTTCCTCAGTCCGTGCTGAGAAATTCTCCCATGATTGTTGCTGTACCTTTTTCCTTGCATAATCATCCAGTGAAGCTCTCGTTCTTGCACAGTTAGGAAGAGGTACAATAGTTCCCTTGTTGTATTTCTTGATTCCTTTCCAGCAGGAATTACTTTTCAACATAAGCAAGAGCTGCACAGGAGAATTATGAGCCTTGATTAAATATCAGTATTTCCTTCTGTCATTTTTCAGTGTGTTATCTTACCTGTGCCTCAAGAAGTTCCTTATTGTTTTATTATGAGAAGTTAAATAGTAACACCTGATCTCACAGCCCAGTGTTGTTCACTACTCAGTGTTTTTATCATGTCCTTCCTCCTCTCTGACCCCTTTTGGCTTCTCCTTCTCAGCTCACTTTGTATGCTGGATCTGCGTCTTGCAGGCACTTACCCACTCTGATATTCCCTCTGGGTCAATGGGACTGTTCAGATGTGCAAAGTTACTCAACTATTTGAGTGTCTGAGGGGAGCAGGGCATGAAGCAGAGCGTGCGCCAACCAGGCAGGCTCCAGAAAAGCTTTTCTGAACCACAATGAGTTGTTTAATGTGTTAAAATCCACAAAATGCAAAACGGATGGGAAGCTGTGTTGGCTACAAAAGATAAGAACGCTTCGATAACTTCTGACTCTCCCTTTGATGTTCTCTATGCAAAGCTGCACTGGTAACAGGGTCACCTAATGCAAAATAATAAATAAGCAGGGAGGCAGCGTGCAATTAGTCACCATTCAGAAAGTGTTTGAATAAAGCACGGTTTTGCCCTGCTGGAGCTGTTCAAAATTGTTTGTATAACAGCCTCCCTGTTGCTCAGAAACAGCACATGAGACCACTGAGCATCTGCAGAAACTCAGATCTGGTTTGTTTGACTTGGACGTGCAGTAAAACAGACTTTAAATGTTACTTCAGCTTTGAGTCAGTGATTACCCTTGTAGTTTTACAGTCCGTGCCTGGAAATGGGATGTTAATTGTTGTTAATGATTCTGTCCACCTAGGTAAGGTCTGAAGGGCAAAACTCACAATGTAATTGCTCTGTCTTGCCTTCAGCAACCCCTTCCAACCCTGTTGTTTCTTGCATTTGTGAGCAATGCCACTAAATCTGCCAATTCAGATCTCGGAGTTTTCTTCTCCATCTAGGACAGCAGTCAATTTCTATCCCTCTCTCAACTGTGCTTTAATGTTTTTTTGTGTGTGTGGTTTTTTTTTGTTGTTGTTGTTTTTTTTTTGTGTGTGTGTGTTTGTTTTTGGTTTTGTTTTGGTTTTTTTTTTTTTTTTTAGCATTACTGAGATTCAGTTCCTGCAGGTATCTTTGGCATAGGGAAAGGTTACTGATGATTACAGGCTTTGGGGAAAGTTTACACACTGAGCTGGAGATCTCCATCCCTAAAGCAAATTAAACTATAGTCTAGGTGAGAGTGTTGGTGCACCAAGCTGCTTTATCCCGGTGGCATTTTTTTGTGCACAATTTTTTGTTCCATTTTCTTCTCAGATTAAATTTTCATCACAGCTTAGGACCAGTTGTTACCATTTTTGTTTGCAATCCATTCACTGTGCTCTCCTGCAGAGTGAGATTTCATGGGAGCTCCCTCTGGAAATCATGAGTACATACATAAAAAGAATTATATTCCTAGTTGAGGTAGAGGCAAGAAAAAGTCTTATCTATTTGAAACATGGCAGAGTTGGATTTTACTTTTTTGAGTGTTTTCTGCCTGATGTCATGGAGGTATTCAAGGCTGGGTTGGATTTGGTACTTGGTATTTTGATTTAGTGGTCGGCAACCCTGCCCATGGCGGAGAGTTGGAACTAGATGATTATTGAGGCCCCTTCCCGCGCAACCATTCTATGATTCTGTGGTCATCTGATGTTATTCATATGGAAGAAAACAATATTGGATTGAAAATTGAGATTTTGGTGTCGTAGTTTATAATCCCATTAATCTGCATCTAGCTCTCCAAGCTTCTCCAAAGCACATCACTCCCCAGACCACTCAAAGTGTCTGTTAAAAGAGTTATATTACACCACAACGTCCTTGAACTCATTCTTTACAAGTAGGACAAAATAATGGATGAGAATTTCAGCAAGAATTAATTGTTACTTGGTCTTGGCTGCTTTGGGCCCAGAGACAAGAACTCCTAGAAAGTTCCCCATGAGCAACTGCTCAGCCTATGGCGTTTGGCTCTTGAAACCAAAGCTGTCATAGTGCCACAAAAGCAGGTAGCAGTGGTATTTCCAAACTCACATCTTCAAGAAACTGAAGTTTGTTTGGTGGAAAACCAGGTCTGAACATGTTGGACCTGAGAGCATGAATTTCCATGAGCCCCAGCATTTTCATCTTACTGGTGGAACAATTATTTCAGCTTAATCTTCCTCCAAGGTCAGAGACTGCGGTGACTTTCTTCTGACCCTCTATGTCACTTTCATTGTGTTGCTGTCCCTTGCATCTTCTCACATTTTTGAATGAGATCCATCTCCTTTATCTGCAGCCTTTTCTACCAAGTCTGAGCTAGTTTGCAGCTGTATTAGATGCTAGGATCTTTTCCTAAGCAAAGGGAAGTTTGCAGCTTACATTGCATTTTGGATGGGATGGGGATCTGCCATTCATTTTTATTACATTCAAAGAGCTAGAATTTAAGGGGAAAAAAAACCTCAACGTACTCCCATAAAAAAAAATAAATTAATTAATTAAAAAAAATTAAATCCAAACCCTCATAGTTAAGAGAAACAAGATCACATTGCATGTCGTTAATGCTTCTAGTGAAACCACCTCTGCTTTATCTTTATGCAGGTAACCTTGCTGCCTTGAACTTGGCCCCTCAGTACCCAGAAATAGTGACCTCAGACAAATATAGGCTGACTGTGAATTGGCCTTTTTATGTTCATACAACAACTTGGCAAAAAAAAAAAAAAAAGGTTGAAAGTCACCTTTATCTGATGTCATTATTGCTATAAAAGGACAGGTTCTGTACAGTGCCCACCCCGTGCCTTAAAGCTTGTAAAATGCTTTCTCAGTGCTGTGCTACCATAGGGTTCAAAGCATAATTCAACTGAAGTGGGCCGTAAGTGGGATGTGCACTTGGATTATATGACACACTAAAATTAAAATTATCACCGGAGATCATTTGCTTTTTAAATTGCAATTCAAATATCTGAACACATTTTTGCAAATTCTGATGGTGGCAATTTTTTTGTTATCAACTTCAGAAAGAAAGAAAAGCTTTGAGTTTGGGTGACAACGATTGTTTTCCTGCAGGGGGAAAAAAAGCCACAAGAACTGTTCCAAAACTAAGTTATGGGAAGATTTTATTCCAAGAATCATTAGGAATCTGTTCTTCCTCTATTAATCTGGACCCAAAATGTAAAAGTGACCATAAAAATTTAGTATTTGATTTTAAAGCTCTTCTGTTGTTCCAGTGAAGTTTTATGGAACAGACTGAAACTCTTTTCATCTTGCTTTCATTTCTTTATTTTGCAGTTAAAGTGTCTCACTTTTGAAATGGGCATTTTAAAGGCATGCTGAGGATCCAATTATTTATGTTGATTTTCATATTTCCTTAAATATGAAATAACAGAATATAAAAAGGCAATATTTGGAATGGGTAGTGATTTAAAAAAAAAAAAAAAAAAAAAAAAAAACTACCTTGGCTGGAACTTTTTTTTATGTGTTGAATTACTCAATGTAGTAACTGATTTGTGCCTCACTCATGTGTTAACATTTTCCTTTGAAAGAAAAAATAATAATAATTTCAGGACCCACATGGAATATGAGTGTAGAGACATCAGTTACAGAATTACAGGTACAATCAGTCTTTTATATTTTATATTTTTATGTTTATATCACTTGTAATGAAGAAGAAAAATCAAGACATACAAAAAAATTAGTGTTATCTTAATTGCCAGAGAAGTTGCATTGTAAACTGAACAATACAGTCCTACATGTAATATATAGAATATTATTTGCAGTGCATGCTATAATAATATAGTTATCTAATACTTATGAATTGCATGAAAATTATTTTATATATCAATAGTTATTTTCAATAATGCTTTATTGAAATGCAATTCTGTTTATGATAATAGAATATAACAAGATAATGATATTACATGTTGGTTAAAAAAAAAAAATACATACTGTTCATATTATTAATGTTCTTTTCCATACTGAAGAGTAGGCTAGATTTATTTAATGGTTTATGCTTATGGTTTATGCTTAATATATGGTTTTTATGTCTAGATCATATTGTATTCATTTACTTAGGATTTTAGAATTTAAGGCAGGAAGTTTTCTCTGTTTTGAAACATCATTTTTATCTTTACAGAATATGCAGTGCTCTACCTGGGCAGGCATAGTCTGATTGTACACTGTATAAATGCTTCTTGGGATTTCTCTATAAACAAAATATATTCTACACAGCTACAGCCTTTTTCGGAAGATATTTTTCTGTTTATTTTGAATTTTTTCCATATTCACTGTTAAAATCAATGGAAATACACATTTTTCTATTCTATGCTGACATAAACAAAGGAAGTGTTAAAAGAAGACATAACAAATTAGGAAAGGTTAATTTAAAAATCAATGGCAGACTCTGATGTCTGTTCTCTTTCACACTGTCTATGTGACTTCTGTAAACAGCAAAAAGACGTTGTTAGGATTGTTACTGAAGCTGACATTTGGTCAAATGAAAACAATTACGTACAGAGATTTTTACTTCCATTTTTTTCTCTACGTTGTTTCTTTACAGATTTTGATGCAGAATTTAACCAGCAAACTCAGTAATATGACTTCTTCCCTTTTGAAAAAGAAAATCCATTCTTCATACTGAGTTGTATAAGATTCAGAAGATGCCTTCTGTTCTTCTTTTTTAAGGGGTTTCATAAATATAATCTGTTAACAAAATTTTTTTTTATCCATTAACAAGAATTGCCAGATCATTTGGCTCCTCTTCAGTGAGCTCAAATATCAGTGATCACCTTAAAGGGGGGAGGAAAAAAAAAAAAAAAAAAAACACCCTAAACTTTGAGATTTTCACTAGAAAAAAGCACCAAAGCTTTTGATTAAATAATGGCTTTGGGTTTATTGAGGAAAAGAAATAATGGCTTTGCCCTTCCTCTTTGACATGAGTTGCAATCATGGCAGCATTCAAATTTTCTGTTTTATTTCCTTTCCCAGTGCTCTGGACCACTCTGTCTGGATTTTGTCTGATGTCATTTTAAGCTTGACCAGTAGAAGGTAAAGATCAATGTAAATAAATTCAAGGGCAAAAGTATGGGGTAGTGACATGTCTGCAAAACAAAAAATAAGGCTCTACAACAGCTGTGTGGTATCAGTTTTGCTCGATGCTGCAAAGACCTGGGGCATTACGCAAGCTGACAAGAAAAGATTTGATGCATTTGATAGCAGGTGTTTAGGAGGGATCAGTAATGTCAAATGGCTTCACTATGTTGGGAACATCAAGTTTCAGGAGAGAACAAGAAAGGAGAAGATTATGGACTTCCTAACAAGGAAGTGGCTTCGAAGGTCTGAACACCCAGCGAGCATGGAGTAGGGCTGGGTGGTAGGAGATGGTCTTGTGGGCTGGTTTTGCTCTCCAAGCTTCCCTGCCCATCCTGACTCAACAAAATATTGGTGAAGACAGGCAAATCTCATCTAGATTTTGACTTTTAAACCTATTTGCTAAGCATGGCGAAGCTTTGGGCAAGGGATGTTGTTTTAGTTTGCCAGCATGGAGGATGTAGTTATTACTCACAAACCTGGTGGGGAAAGAATTGAATGAGAACGTGAAAATGAAAGACAACTTCTTTTAAGACACTGCTTATCAGCAGGAGTATTCGTGGGAATCATGGATTTCCAAACCAGACCTCTAGGATTTTGTAGCACAGACCATGCAGGCAAAACGGGGTTTTACAGACTGTCAAGCCAAAATCTACATCAATAGGCTACACTGACCTCAATGAACCTTGCACACATGTGAATCAGTGTAGAAGTCACCTGTTGTTCACATTTTCTTTCAGAAACAGCCTTTGTGCATGTAGCTGGGGAGCATCTCTTGAAAACTGTAGCTCAAGAATGATAACTTAAAACAGATGGGAGCAAGAAATAATAAAGCCAGACCATATGGGTAAAATGGGCCTGTTTGAAGCAAGTGCAGCCAAATATATTATGCTGTAGTAATGTGTGAAAGAAGTTGTACTAATATATGGGCTATCTGTAAGTTGGATTTTTTTTTCACAGCTGAATCAAGAAAAGGAAGTGTCCTCTATATGAATGGTAATAAGAGCCATATTTCAAAAAGATCCATGTTAATTTATTGCATCAAGCAATGTCAAAAGTAGCTCATCATCCAAAGTAGCATTTTACCTTTGTTATTTACAAAACTTTGTTTTATCTTACGAATGTTCTTGAATAAGAACTAGTCTACAATTTATTAATATTCTTTTTTGTATAAAGACTCTTTGGGCTGCAGCGAAGTAGACAGTAACTATAACCAGACACTTAAGACATATACTCAAATCTGTCAGCAATAGACCTGTATCACTATTTCTTGGATTGTTGTATTTTCCCTTACTTTTCCATGAAAAATTTAGGATAGCCTTCCAAAAATAATGAGTCTAAAGTGTAGTAGTTCAAGTGGTTAAAATGTTATTTCTCTGTGATATTGCATGGTGTACTTTTAAAAGCATAGGAGTGCTAATCCAGGAGTCCACAAAGAGAATTTGCTCTAAAATTCATTTAAAACCAACGATACTTACCCCAAGCTATTTTCAGTTGAAACATTGGCTTTAGCATTCAATGAGAGCAAGTAAAAATATTTACTCAGGCAGCTAATTGGCCTATCAAACATCCAGCATTCAGACGATCTCATAACAGAGCAAACACTCATATGAGTGCAAGGGGAAGGACAGACTGCCTTTAGCAGGCAGGGCTAGGGCTCTGCAGAATGAGACCTGGGTAAGGGCAATGACATTTAGCAAATTACTATAGAAAACTGATAAGGGCATGATCCTTTTTTATGCTGAAGATCATGTATAATGCCTGTGTGCTGTGCCTAAGTACCTATTCATAAATTTAGAATGGAAGCTCGTGGTAAGATGCTGACAGGCACCACAGAACAAGTAATAAACCCCTGCCCCAGGCAGCAATGTTCGGGCACCGGTTTGTACCTTGCAGCCTGGTACTGCAGTGGCCAACAATTCATCCCACATAGCTCAGAAGGTGATGTAGCACTGATGTAGGCCAGTAGGTTGAATGAAGATGCAGTTTTTGAATAATGAGATTAACTCTTAACTATGTTATATGTGCTCTCAAAAACAGCATCCTGCTGGGCTCATTTCAGATGAATGTGCAGAAGTGTAGCATGCCACTAAAAAGATAAGTGATGACTGTTTGCATGTCCTTTAGCATGTTTGTCATGTCAATTAATATAATTCTGTTTTAGTGTTAGTATGAGTAGACTCTAAGGGTGGGTAGTGCTGTGAAATTAACCCATGCCATAGGTTTGTTTTGTTTTTTTTTTGACCACTCTTCTCTCCCAGATATTCTTATAAGGGCTAGAGAACTTCTGGGAGGACTTTTGCACAGATTGATAGCAGCCCTTTCTGGAAAGTGTCTCTGATTATATAGCATTTCTCACAGAATAAGCAATACACCATTTTGTTTGGGGTTTTGTGGCATTCTAGATCATAGGATGGACACGGCACAGCAGACTAATCATAGTGTTAAGTGTTAGAGTTTCAAGTGAAGGCACAATTCTGTAGGTGAAAATATACAATCATCTTGGCCAACTGTTTCTGAACCCATAAACCCCTCTGTCAGGAAGGACTCACTAAGGAGTCCTTTGTTACCAGGTCAGGAGGTGCTGAGGTCTCAAATCAGTGCTTGGCCTTATGTTATTACTGCAAGATATTTTTGTGGCAAAATGGTTGCTATGTCAAAAAGACTTTTAGAATGGAGAATGAGTCTCCATGTCTCTGAGTTCACGCATGTGGCAAAAATCAGGCAGGAAAACACTACAGTTACAATCTAACTTTTGACTAAATGCTTGTTGATTGTTGGGTGGTTGTGGTGTTTTTTGTTTGTTTTTGTCAAAATAAGTTTTGCCCAAAAAAGAAATCTTCCATGAGAATAGGACAACTTTGATTGTTTGTTTTTTTTTAAGATTATAGAAAACTTTAAAAGATATATTTGCTCCATTTCGATAGAAAGAGGGGGGAAAAAAAACAGTTTGACAAAACCCATTCAGTTATATTCAAAAGGAGATGGCTTGGGTGATGGGCATTAACTTTTTTTTACTGGAATTTCTGTTCATTTCCTTTCAGTTCTGCCTGAGAATAGAAAAGACCAAAATGTCAGAATTTTGCATACGATAGAAATTCAAAGGTTTGACCCTGTCATAAAAACAAAGGTAGCAAATTGTAAGACCACAATGTGTAAACACTTAAAATGAATAAATTTTGGGAATTCATATCTTAACTGATTCCTAGCCTGCAGGTGGAAAGCGGGAGATGCTCAAGTCTCATTTAGATGCACATAAATTCATAGAATCATAGAATAGTGCGGGTTGGAAGGAACCGTCAAGCTCCAACTCCCCTGCTGCAGGCAGGGCCACCAGCCTCCAGATCTGATAAATATCCCAGAAGATGTCACCCTTCATTCTTGCATGATTGTCCCTGCTGCTAGCTCAGAGGCACCATGGTGACTTACTGTTACCACCATATTTGCAGGGAGCATCTATGAGCATAAATTCCACAGAATTCATGGAAGGGGAAATGACTGAAATTGTCAGTCTTCACACAAACAGTGTGTTTGGGTAAAAAAAAAAAAAAAAAAAAGAGCTGTTCTGTTATAGCTGGTGGCATTTCAATGGTAAAGAGAAAAGAAATGGGCATATAAGTCATCCAAACAATACCTGGCTTACCATCAGAGGCAGGTAAGGAAGGGACAGGAAGGGAGAGGTTGGCAACGTTAGACACAAACTTTTGAAGGTCTGAACAGGGGAGTTTACCCTGTTCCAAAGGAAAAACTGGCAGTTCATAGGCTGCTCCTATGAATTTCAGGAGACAGATTCACAGTTTCCCTACAATGGGGCAAATTTTGTACAAGATCAAGAGGAAAAGCATGGTTATTCCTTTACAATGGATTTCATGTTGCCAGCCTGAAGGTGCTGTGGCAATGGTCATTTGTACAATTTGGTTATTAACCTAGCATATTGCAGGTTGCTAAGCAGGCAGTGTGTGTGGATACCCTCTGCTACCATGTTCCTTGTGAACTGGATCTAAATACTCCTTTTTCATTTGTCCCAGCCATTAGAGTCTGTTCTGAAGGAGTTTATGGGTTTAAGGTTCACCTTAGGTATATACCTAGTGATTTTTGGCATGAGGCTGTGTCTGCTCCCTCTGTAACGAAGGCAGTTTCACCACGTGCTTCAGGCTGCATGCTAAGCTCTACTGAAAATCCAACTCTGCTAATACAACATCCTGTAGCAGATGGTATTGTTTTTATCTGATTTTTTCCCTTCAGGAAGATTGGACAAGGAGATATTGAGAAGGAGGGCAAAATCATCAGTTCCCTATAGGAGCTTCAGGTTGATGGGAGCAGACAGTGCATGGAACCTCAGGTATGGAACCCAGGGAGTGGTGGAGAGATGTGGGATGTACTAAGAGCTTGTATAACGTAGCAGGCAGACGAGGCTCAGAGGGGACAAAAGCAGCTTCCCAGGAAGCAGAGGAACCAGCCAGGATGCCTGGAAAAGTCTCTGGCTATCTGCAACTAAACTTTCAACCTGTTTCCAAGCCACTGACAATCTGGGATCCTTCTTGCATTTATTTTGGACTTTCTCGCATGGTGTAATGCTATTTCTTTCTCCATGAGACATTTATGTTACAAGTCTGATCCTCTTCACCTTCAAAGCAAAACTCAAGGGAACCAATATTTCCAGATCGGTCTGCACAAATAGGGACATGATGTAAGGGGTTTTTGGTATTTGTACCATTTCACCATTATGGCAGTAATGATATAGAGCAGGAACAACTAGCATAGCGCACAGCTTTGTTCCCCAAGCACATATCTCTGATCAGAAAAATCTTCTAGGGACAAAACTGCAGTGTTAGTTAGAAAATTAGCTAGTCTTTTTGTTACAGCCTCAGAGCGTCCAATATGACATCCTTTTCCACTTCCACCAGAGTGCTGCTGGTGTTCCTATTCCACAGACAGGTAATTGGATGTAGGGCTGCACTGTCTTTTAATCACAGACAGAAACCCAAACATTTATTCAAAAATTCGTAGAATCATTAAGGCCGGAAAAGACTTCTAGGATCATCTACCCGGAACATCAACCCATCCTCTCCATGCCCACAAATGCCCACATCCCGTGCTGCCACATCTCTGCAGTTCTTGCACAGCTCCATGGATGGTGACTCCACCACCTCCCTGGGCAGCCTGTGTCAATGTCCCACCAGGAAATGGAAATTCAAACACGTAGATTTGCGTTGTGAGAACACATTATCCGTGCTCTGGAGGAAGTAAGGATGCTGAGCCTGCAGAACTCTTGAATCTGCAGAAAGCTTTTCCTTAGCCTGGTGGGGTGTTTCACCACATGTGGCGGCTTGTGAAGTACAGACTCAAAATAAAGGTTGTTTGTCTTGAGGATTCACAGGCCTCATAATTCAGAAAGGGGGAGGTGTTGTTTTTAGTGAAATCCAAGGTGGCAGCATCTTTGGAACGCAGCTCCTGTTTGTACAACAGAGCTTTTACACCAACATTTGTACAGCTCAGCTTCTCCTCTTAAGCTTTTAAGACCTCAGCCTGCTTTACGGTGACTTAAAGGGCATCCGTGATTTTACTCACCAAGTGTCTTCTGCTGTGTGAAGCGAATGCTGCATGGAGTTTACAAGTGCTTGACTATGACATCTGGGTAAGGCATAGATGGCAGTGGGGGGAAGAGGTTTTATCAGACAGACGTTGGGCTTGGCACATAGCAAGTGGTATGAATAATGCAGGCAGCTAAAGGAGTGCCGTGAAAACTGTGCCTCCTCGTCATGCATTCAGATTATGCCCCTTCCCTTACACAGATAGCTATTTTAGGAAAGTTTAGGAGAGCTCAAAAATATTTAATTAGGACTACTTTTTTTACATTCCTTGTAATAAAGTAAAGGGTTTTATTAGCTTTGGTCCATCACAGGCCTTCATCCTGACCAAAAATAGCCTTCTCTGTTCATAAGAATATTACAAATTAAAATTCTGACAACTTGAGAGCTAGGAATGAGCATCCGTATCTAAAAATGTCCCTTTTCTACAGCACTAAGAGGCAAGTGCTAAATCTGGGTATGAAGCTATGGCATTTTTTACTATAAACAAATGCTGCCAATAACTGAGCACTTTGATCTGCTGGACCACAAGCCAGAGTAGATTTGTAGGGAAATATTCCAGTGCCAAAGCACTGGGGAGTGGGAAGAGACAGGGCTTAGCTGGGAGCATGCAGACTGACAGATCAAGAAATTAATGGATGGAATGCAAATGAAGCTGGGAAGGAAAATGTGCTTTGGTCACTTGTCCTTCTGCTTGTATTGCCAAGCCTGCTGTGCAAACGAAGCTTCTTGGAGATTTATAAATAAATCAATCTGATTGTTTTATCTGCTAGATCTTGGAGCTCACGGGGAAAACTACCCTCACCCACCCTGCAGGAGGAGCACAATGGCACCCTCTGTTGCCCTGCATGCTGCTCCCATGTGGATGTATGAAATCCCAAAGGTATCCATTCCCCACCTCCAAATCTCATCTCTTTCCACCGAGCTTCCTTGTTTCTTTGGAGTTATCCTGTTATTTCCATTTGTAATAAAATCCGTCTTGTTCTTTTTGTACCAAGTGGAGAAACACTGAGAGGATTGCCACGCTCATTTCATTAACAGTGGCCTCCTGTCCCCATTTTTGTCCTCCCTAAATGGCAGCTCCTTGCAACAGCTGTATTAACCACTGAGCTCAGCCCTGCAAAGCGGTGGTCATTTCCAGCATTAACTGGAAAGCAATTAGTCTTGATGAGATTGGAGTGTCCAACTTTCATGCAATCAATTAAATTACAGCTTTTCTTTCATTTGGTTAAACAAAAACTCGATTCATTAATTAAAATACATAGTGAATCTGATTTTTCTCTGATCCTCTGTGTGTTCGTAAGCAAGCAACCAGTTCCTTTTAGGAACCAAAACAAAATTCCTTCTGGAGCATGACAAGTTTTCACTCCTAATCACCTTTACTTTTCTCCACGTGAACACACTTTAATTGCTCATTAATACAGAGTTAACAGGCTGACACACAACCGGCTGCTTCTTTTTGGACTTCTCTAACAATGACTTTTTTTGTGTGTGTTTGGTAATGAAACCAGACATTTCTGAGAGTCAATCAACTTTTTCTGTGTTTTGCTCCCATGCCATGCTGTATAGGATTGTACAATTACCTCTCTGTGATGTTATTATTCAGGACTGATTTTACTGTGATGGTGTAAGAGGAATTAGATATGTCCTTTCTATTGCTGTTGATATGACTGTGTCTATTTTCCCTAAATGCAGTCTGAAAGAATAATCAGAAGCAGTACATAGAACTCATCGCTTAGAAATGATTACTCAGAAGTCACTAAATGTTGTTAGTGTAAACAGATTTTTGTAAAAGCTGTGTTTTGTCCAGCACTTTTAGATGAAAATATTTAAACTGAAGAAAAGTCTTCAATTTTTCAAATTATAATGTAAAAGATTTCAGCAAGAATTAAAAATCTGACATAAGGTCCAGTATAAAAAAGTATTTCAGTGCATCTCTTTGACAAACACAAATGATCTGTTGAAGTATAACAAAAAATGAGTTGGAAATATCTGATGTACTGTGTCTGTTCAGCTTTAAGCAGCCTCACCTACTGTGCCAATGACTTACAGTCAGCTTTGGATTTTGTGTGCTCGTCATCAGCCTTCAGGATCCACACTACATTTGCTTCCTTTGATTCCAAAAAGATTTTGTCAACAAATTGAACTGAGTTTTATCCCAGGCCTCACAAATACAACCATGTTTGACAGTTGTGGGAAAGAAAAGAGTTCAAGCAGCATCTATTGTTTGTTCAGAAATATCTAATGTCATAAATCGAATTACTCGTAATGATTCCATACTAATTTGTTATTTGAGTCCTTTGCAGGTCCACTTTCTCCCAGATAATGGGAGACGAGAGGAATTGCCTAAGCTTTTGATGCTGTGTAGATCTCTGCTGAAACACATTCTGATTGCTACTGATCCAGATATCTTTTTTTTTTTTTGTAAGCTTAAGCCCACAAGCTTCAGAATTCAACTTAAAAGACCAGCTGTCATCTGAATGTTGTTCTTTTTTTTAGAGAAATAACTCAAATTTAGAAAAAACAGTTCAGTGTTAAAATGACCAAGAAAAGTTTCTCTGAAATGAAAACAAATCCAAAATACCCACACTTTAAAACAGCACATTTCAGCAGAGCTTAAAGTGTTCCTCCCTTCTGTTTTCTCAAACCGAAGTGCTGACAAAATCAGTATGTTTTCTGAAGTGTTTGAATTTGATCAGATTTTCATGTTTTGGTGAAATACGGATCCACTGATGGGATCCTGGCTGGCTGAATGTGTTGTTTCCTTGGGTTATGGTTATGGCATCCACAAGCCTACCAAAACTGTCTCGGTCTTCCATGAATGGCGATATTATTCCAGTTAAGTAAAAAAAAAAAAAAAAAAAAAAAAAAGAGAGAGAGAGAGAAGAAGAAGGTAAACCTACCCTAAAGTGTTGTCACTCTTATCTAGAAAACCAGGCCCAACTGAACATTTAGAATAAGAACAGAAATGGATGAAAAAGATGTCATATGAGAGTTGGTTCAAAGGCAGAAATTAACCTGTACTCCCTACTATTGTGATGGAAGATGTGACCCTACCTGGGTCACCTGGATCTGCTGGAAGTGTTTGCTGCTTGAAGATGAAATAAAAAGAGATGGGGGGTGAAATATGTTCAGTAACAGGGAAGTGTTTATTCCTGGTGAAGAATTGGGGGAAGATTATGTTAGATGTTAGGAAGAAATTCTCTTCTCAGAGGTTGGTGAGGCACTGGCACAGGCTGCCTGGTGAGCTGTGGATGCTGCATCCCTGGGAGTGCTGGAGACCAGGTTGGATGGGGCCATGTGAACCTAATTTAGTATGGAGCAACACAGCCCACAGCCAAAGGGCTGGGAGAGAATGAACTTCAAGGTCCCTTCCAACCTAATCCATTATGTCATTCTATGATTCTGTGCAGTCACCTGTCTTTGTATTATGGAGAATATCAATTCTCAGTCAAAGACATCCTCATTCCTTTTATTTTTCTTTCACATTTCCCTGTACACATCTGCTACTGACTTGACGGGGCAAAAATGCCCATTTGCACGAGCTACGAGTCTTCTAGGGACTCCATTGCCTAGCTCATCACTGTAACATCTCCACTCTACTTTAAAATGCAGAGCTGGAACAAAGGATGCCAAACCAAACCGCATGTGTCCATCTCCAGCTGAGAAGGGGATAAGAATAAAGGAAATGTTATCACTTCTGGAGATGTGGTCCATTTCCAAACAAAATCTGGGTACAATGAAGCAGAAAGTCACAACATACCACAGAGTTCTTTCCTAAAAAAAAACCCCACAGATTTGTTGAGGGTGACTCCTGTTTCCCCACTAGTACACAAACTTTGTGTTTAGCTACACCAGTTCCCTGGGAGTGATGTGCGTGCTGGCAGGTCAGGGGACCTGCTGTTGGGTTATGTCATTGTTATGAGAGTCACGCTGCTAAGGAGCTTTGAGTTGTACCCCATGCTGAGAATAATCCAAATAATCTGCAACTCAAAGCATCCCTCATCAAAGATCACTGTGAACACAGGCAATTTCAGCTGACCCGATGAGCTAAACATAAACATGTCAAGATCTCAGTGGTACCAGAACATTTGTTTTAAATATCCTGAGTGTGAAATCGGTGCCAATGGACAACATCAATTGTTTGCCAGATGTTCTTTTCTCTAATTTTACTGCAGAGAACATACAAGTACGTGCTGGAATTAACATGATGACTGGGGAGAACACAGTAGCCAACCCTTGGTTTATTGCAGCAGTGTAAAAGACAGTAGTTTCCAGGAAGAGAGATTACTCCTGGTTCGCATGGCTGTGAGATACGCACGCAGCCTCTCAAGGGACATACGCATTTCACGCAAACAACATGATCTACGAGCCCTTTAAGGTTAAGTTTTGATAGTGGTAGAACAGGAGAGAACTCGGACTGTACAGCTCTCTTCTCATGAGCTGGATGTTGTTGTTCAGAGGTGCACATCAGTAGTATTGAGGCTAACCACAATACTTACCAAGGTGGGACAAGCTCAGAGCAATCTACAGTCTGCAAGAGAAACCCAGAGTGGTAAAACTGCAACTGAAATGAGAGATGAGTCAAGTACAAAGGTTGCTCCAAAAGTAATGCCTCCTATTTTATTCAATTGGCCCATTATGTCAGTGGCAGATGATGGCAGTAGGGATTGAACCTTTCCACTGGTATTCTGTTACATTTTGTTGCTGTGTGACAGATGGCAGCAGAGGGGCAGTCTGACAAAATGCTGTCTGACACGGAAGTCATGTGTATGAAACAAAGGTGAAAGATAAGGAAAGCTGGGACCACACAGATTTGTCTGGTAATTGCTGAGACCCGTGTCCACTACAAATGTATTCTTCACAGAAAGAGAGTGGATACACTGTTCCACATCTACCAAAGTATCAAATGATGTTTTTCAGGGCACTGCTGCTGTAACATATTCTGTAAAGAAACTAGACCAAAATCCTGAAACACGGATAGAAAAGATAATGTGTCTTTCCATTCATGTTGTCAATAGATTCAGAGCAGGAACAGTGCCAGATTAAAGGAAAGCAAATATTTGCAGTATAATATTTTATTCATCAGAAATTCCTCAAGTTTTTAATAGATCTTTTTGGCTGATATAGAAATTCTTTAACTGCAAAGTTTTATTTGACTTTTTTCAGAAGCATTGCTGAATGTGAGTCTCTTAAGACTGAAACCTTCTTATAAAAAAATAACAACAACAAAAAACATAGATAGAAACACAGCATTCATTTTTCTATACATTTCTGTAAGTTTTTGTAGGTTTTTAGTTTGCATTAGATAAACATTGATTGATTTAAATGACAGAGATATCCTCAGCACAAAATCTCAGATCCTGAAGCATTTATTTCCCAAAAGAAGCCAAACTCAGAACATATTTTAAGTAACTTTGGCCATTTATTCTACAAGATACTACTTCAAACACAAGAATCATAGAATCATAGAATCATAGAATCACCAAGGTTGGAAAAGACCTAAAAGCTCATCCAGTCCAACCGTTCACCTATTCCCAATAGCTCCTACTAAACCATGTCCCTCAACACAACATCCAGCCTTTCCTTGCACACCCCCAGGGTTGGTGACTCCACCACCTCCCTGGGCATCCATTCCAGTGCCTGATCACCCTTTCTGAAAAGTAATACTTCCTCATGTCCAGCTTGAATCTCCCCTACCGTAGCTTGAAACCATTCCCTCTGGTCCTAAAGAACCAGAGGGAAAAGAAGGCATGCCATCTTAGGAATAATGTCCCTCTTTATACATCTTTAACAGATTTTCTTTCCTTCCTTTCCTTCCTTTCCTTCCTTTCCTTCCTTTCCTTCCTTTCCTTCCTTCCCTCCCTCGTTCCTTTCCTCCCTTCCTTCCTCCCTCTCTCCCTCGTTTCCTTCTTTTCCCTTTCCCTTTCCCTTTCCCTTTCCCTTTCCCTTTCCCTTTCCCTTTCCCTTTCCCTTTCCCTTTCCCTTTCCCTTTCCCTTTCCCTTTCCCTTTCCCTTTCCCTTTCCCTTTCCCTTTCCCTTTCCCTTTCCCTTTCCCTTTCCCCTTCCCTTTCCCTTTCTTTTTTCCTAGGGTTTGCCCTCTTTATTGCTCAAAGAGTAAGTGTTAAGCTGATAAACAGAAGAACTCTTCTGGATACAGTACATCCTGGAAACCCTTATGCTATTTAAAACTGTAATTACAATTTGGAAGGGAATCCAAACTTTTCTAGGAATGCTTAAGCCTTTCAGTACTGCTAAATTCTTCAAGCTGAACAGGGTCTATGCAGTTTGCCTACCTGGGGATATGCATGTTCACTTCACCAAAGGAAACACAAACTAGAATTCGGTAAGGCTCATTAGAAAATCCCACACACTGAGCTATCTTTATAAATGCCTAAACCAATAATTTGTAGGTTCCTCAGAAGATGGAAAGAGGAATGCACTGATTTTTCCATAGATGGTTAAATGAAAAATGCTTCTCCACAGTTTTGATAACTTTGACATGATGTAAATTAATCCTAGCTTCTACAGAACTGGTTTCACTGGCAGAGACTGTCAATAAAGTAACTAAGATTAAGGGTCTTGCTCTGGATTTTAGAAGCACTTTAAAACAACAAGCATAAATGCTTCACTAATATTTAAGATGGAATTCACTGATGTGGCCATCCTATTTAATACCCATAACATGTAACTATCTATTTAAAAATAGACCCATAATAAGCTTGCTAGCTGCAGAGGATCCTATACAATCCCTTAAAGAGCCCTAACGTGAAAGCATAATGAAAACAAACTAGCTTCTGTTCATTCATGATGTTATTTCACAGTGAAGCTGGTCAGCTATCTAAATAATCCATGTTCAGCCTTTCTTTTGGCCTTAATGGAATACAACACAAAAGCTGACACTTGGTTCTGTATCTTTCTACGGCTCCTTTAAGGTCATTGAACCATAGAATGGCTTAAGTTGGATGGGACCTCAAAGATTATCCAGTTGCTGCTGTGACTGGCTGCCCCTCACCAGCTCAGGCTGCCCAGGGCCCCATCCAACCCAGCCTTGAGCACCTCCAGATAAGGGGCACACACAGCTCTCTGGGCAGCCTGTGCCACTTGTGTCTGTTTGCTCTGCTAAACTACAGTTTTTACTCTTGGTTGCCAGTCACAGAGGTCAAAACAATGCAGTTTTCTGAAAAGTCTTATGGAAAGTAGACCTATGGCAGAGCAGCTACAGCTTGCTGCACAAATGAAGTATCTATTATTATCTTTTTAAACATTCCATTTAAAATAATTTAAATTATTGAAAACATTAAGATATATTAAAATATTGTCAGACAGCTGACCAGATCTACACCCTGAAAACAATCTGTTCATGTAAGCTGTCCTGGATTACCAACTTCAGACTGCTCTATGTCAGTCTTGGTAATACTTCACTGTTATACTGAAAACAGCTGAAAACCCTTCAGTTAGGTAC